ACACGGTGCTGTGTCAAGTACTGCGGGCCCTGCCCTCCGCCGCCCAGCCGGTGGGCTGAGTGCGCGCTGCCTCTGCGCCCACAGGTTCAACAAACACCTGGACCGCGGCTTTAACTCGTGCGCGCGCAGCGACTTGTACTTCGTGCCCCTGGAGGGCTCCAAGCTGGCCAAGAAGCGGGCCGACCTGGTGGAGAAGGTGCGGCGCGAGGCCGAACAGCGCGCGCGCGAAGAGAAGGAGCGCGAGCGCGAGCGCGAACGCGAGAAGGAGCGCGAGCGCGAGAAGGAACGCGAGCTGGAGCGGAGCGTGGTGAGTGCGTCACGGCGTGCGCCTCCCGCCTTCCGGCGTTCCTAGTGCGCCGCGCGGGTAGGCTCAAGGGGCGGGGGGATCACTGCGCCACCTCTTGGAGGGGAGGAAGTACTGCAGCCCAGGAAATGGAGCCCAAAGGATTCCTGGGAGAGGGATGCCAGGTATGGGGGTGGGCTCAGGTCAGACTACCTGTGGATTGTAAGAAGAGCTGCTATTCAGGAGAAGTGGGTAGGGAAGTTCCTGGTGGGCTGAGTTCCAATAAGACAAGGTATTTTGGCATTCTGCTGCTGAGATAAACTAGCAGCTCAGGATTGCCCATCTTTTTTATTATTGATTTTTAGAGAGAGGAAGGAAGAGAGAAACATGGTGGGTTGCTTTCTGCCTATGTCCCAACCCGGGATTGAACCTGCAACCTTTTGGTGGACAGGATGATGCTCCAACCAACTGAGCCACACCAGATAGGGCCTGGCCACCATTTTACAAGGCTGCTATTCTGACTCCTTTTCTCCCTGTACCCCACAGAAGTTGGCTCAGGAGGGCCGTGCTCCAGTGGAGTGCCCATCTCTTGGCCCAGTGCCCCATCGCCCTCCATTTGAGCCGGGCAGTGCTGTGGCTACAGTGCCCCCCTACCTGGGTCCTGACACTCCAGCCCTGCGCACACTCAGTGAATATGCCCGGCCTCACGTCATGTCTCCTGGCAATCGCAACCATCCGTTCTATGTGCCCCTGGGGGCAGTGGACCCGGGACTCCTGGGTTACAATGTCCCGGCCCTGTACAGCAGTGACCCAGCAGCCCGGGAGAGGGAGCGGGAAGCCCGAGAAAGAGACCTCCGTGACCGCCTCAAGCCTGGCTTCGAGGTGAAGCCCAGTGAGCTGGAACCCCTACATGGGGTTCCTGGGCCCGGCCTGGATCCCTTCCCCCGACATGGAGGCCTAGCTCTGCAGCCTGGCCCCCCTGGCCTGCACCCTTTCCCCTTTCATCCGAGTCTGGGGCCCCTGGAGAGAGAACGTCTGGCGCTGGCTGCAGGGCCAGCCCTGCGGCCTGACATGTCCTACGCAGAGCGTCTGGCAGCTGAGAGGCAGCATGCAGAAAGGGTGGCAGCCCTGGGCAATGACCCACTGGCCCGGCTGCAGATGCTCAATGTGACCCCCCATCACCACCAGCACTCCCACATCCACTCTCACCTGCACCTTCACCAGCAGGATGCCATCCATGCAGGTGAGACTCCTTCCTTCCTTGGTGTGCCCCCCCTCCCACCCTCTGCAAGTGATTGGGCTCTTCTGTTCCTCAATCCAGGACCTTCCTAGTCTGGCATGAGCTCTCTCTTAAGTGCTTCGTTGTCATTCACCAGCCTGTCACCTCATACCCTAGCCTTGCCACAGAGACTGTCCCCCTCATCCCCACCATCTCAGTCTAGCGTCCCACCCGTGACGGAGGCCAAAGCTGGGTCCCTGTGAGAGAGCACTGCTTTTCTGCCGTCATAGCCCATCAGCCCATTTCCCCTGGCCCTCACATACCTGTTTTCTTGCTTATCTGGATTCAGCTCTTGTGATTTCTTGCCATCTTCTCGCCTCCCAGCTGCAGGTCTTTTGTGTTCCTCCCCATCTCTGTGGTGGTGGGCATCATAGGTGATAATGAGCTTTATTTACTGTCCTTTTACTATATTTCTTTAAAATATATATATTTTTATTGATTTCAGAGAGGAAGGGACGGGGAGGAGAGAGAGAGAAACATAAAAAATGAGAATCATTGATCGGCTGTCTCTTGCTTGCCCCCTACTGGGGATGGAGCCCATAACCTGGGCATATGCCCTTGACCGGAATCCAACCTGAGACCCTTCAGTCGGCAGGCCTATGCTCTAGCCACTGAGCCAAAACCGGCAAGGGTTTCACTGGATTTCTTATTGCCCAATCTAACCATACACTCATGTTCATTCCAACCTTCCTTGAGCTTTCTCTCTCTTAACCTCTGTTCTCTTCCTGTCTCGTTTCTAAACTTTCTATCCTCTCATCTCTAAGCAGACTACTTCTCCCTTTCCTTTTCCTCAGACCCCTGATAATTCTAATCTGTCCGTCAGTATGTCCCTGCTACCTTAGCATCTTATACTTGTCCTTTATGCTCCTTATTCCACTCTGGATCTCCCTGTGTTTGATTTGCCACCTCTCTCCCCAGGCTTGGACCCCTTCACTACATGCATGGTTTTCCCCAAACCTGCCTTCTGATGACACCTTCCTCTTCTTTACCCTCCAGCGTCTGCCTCAGTGCACCCTCTCATTGACCCTCTGGCCTCAGGGTCTCACCTTACCCGGATACCCTACCCAGCTGGGACCCTCCCCAACCCCCTTCTTCCTCACCCTCTGCACGAGAATGAAGTTCTTCGTCACCAGCTCTTTGGTAAGGATGGAGGCTGGGGATAGGGAAGGTCAATAAGAGAAGAGCAGAGAGGAGGAATTTGGGTGGTGGGATTGGCCTGATTGGGCTTGGGGATGGGTGAGGAAGTGCCCAGAGGAGCTGGGGATGGGAGTAGCTTCACTGAAGAGGCATAGGTTTATTGCCAGGCTGAGAAGTTTGAATCCTAACTCTACCACTGGCATTTTTCAAGACTGCTGTTACCTAACATTTTTAGTCTCAGTTTCCTCTGCATGTAAAGTGATTGGTTATCTTCTGGCTCAGAGGAGGTCATCATTCATTGCCCTGTGCCCTTGCTGCCTACAGCTGCTCCTTACCGGGACCTGCCAGCTTCCCTCTCTGCCCCGATGTCAGCAGCTCACCAGCTGCAGGCCATGCACGCACAGTCCGCCGAGCTGCAGCGCCTGGCGCTGGAACAGCAGCAGTGGCTGCATGCCCACCACCCACTGCACAGTGTGCCGCTTCCTGCCCAGGAGGACTACTACAGGTACGACTGGGCTCCCCTAGGCCAGGAGTGAGGGGATGGAAGGCTGGGATGGGGTGTAGGCATGGTACAGCTTGGTGGTAGTCTTCTCGGGGAGGGATCCCCTCTTCCACCCTCCTCTGTGAGAGGGGTCAGGTCAGATTTGGCCTCAGTCACATATCTCTGTTCTACTCCTAGTCACCTGAAAAAGGAAAGTGACAAGCCACTGTAAGCCTGCAATCAAGAGAACACCCGAGTGTGCATTTGGATCTTGGAAGTCTCCCTCCCGGCCTGCCACCCAGAGCGAGGAGGGGCGCTGCTCAGTTGCGGGGCCTCAGCAGCTGGGCAGAGGGAGGGAGGAAGAGACAGAAGGGAAACCGAGGCTCCTGTGGTGTGCAGAGGTGGGGAGGTGGCGGGGGTGGGGGCAGAAGCGCACAGTATCTTGGACCAGGTCCCTCTTTTTGTCCCCCTGCTTTCTCCCTCTCCCATGCCCAGCCCGTGGCCACCCCCCGCCCGCCCCGTTGGTGTGATTATTTCATCTGTTAGATGTGGCTGTTTTTGCGTAGCATCGTGTGCCACCCCTGCCTCTACCCAATCCCTGTGTGCGCGCCCCCCTCTGCAATGTATGCCCCTTGCCCCTGCCCCACATTAATAATTTATATATATAAATATCTATATGATGCTCTTTAAAAACATCCCAACCAAAACCAACCAAACAAAACGTCCTCACAACTCCCCAGGAAGACGGCTGTGACTCCTTATTTGCGGGCTGTGAGGGGGGGAGCGGAGAGGTGGGGAGTTGGCTACTCGGTGGGAGGGATGGGCCTTCTGAAGAACCTGGGGGTGGGGGGGTGGACGACCCTGGACAGTTGAAAAGGATTCTCCCATCAGGACGCTGGAGGCCTGGGATAGGCCCGCCTCTGCCAAGATCAGGTCTAGGAAATACTGACTTCTGAGGGTTTTGTTTTTAAAATACATTTTTTTTATTTTTATTAATTTCAGAGGAAGGGAGAGGGAGAGCGGGATAGAAACATCAATGAGAGAAAAATCATTGAATGGCTGCTTCCTGCAAACTCCACCCCCCAAACCCCTCATGAGCCTGTAACCTGGGCATGTCTTCTCAGGGCTGGGCTGGTTCATAGGTCCACGCTTAACCACTGAACCACTGCCGTGCTGAATGACAGCTAGGAGGACCGGTCTGAATCCTTTCTGTAGAATACTTTGAGACATGAAGTAGAACTCCAAGAGCCTTGTTTCAACATTAAAGCGATTACAACCCAGGAAGTCTACCCTATGGTTTGAGAAGAGCGTAGCTGACCATTTCAAACGCCTAGAAGAGAAGTTGGAAGGCATTACGCTTTAGCATTCCTACACAAGGCCCCGTTCTCAAAGGGCGACCCCTGTTTCCGTTCCAAGCTTTTACTGCTGCAAATCATTGTCTCCGTTCTTAAAAACCAAAAGGTGTGACCTGCTTCTCTCAGCCAATCAGCATCGATCTCATTTACATACGCTCGCATCAAACGTTTGCAAACTAGGAGTGCACACGAATTAAGCCCCTTAAACGCTGTTTTCCTTGCCACAGTGGCGGTGCGCATCGCTGCTTGTGCAGCGGGGGGACTGGGCAAGTCCGCTGTGAGTCACCCTCACCCTTACCGGAGTCCACGGGTCCTGCGCGTTCTCTCCGGGGCCCGCCCTGCAGTGCTTACAGCTCTTTTTGAATTTGTCCAGCAGGTCTTCCGGCTCGACCGGAAGGCCCTCCCCCAAAGCGAGTTCATGGAAACAATAGAACGACAAGAAGTCCGGGGAGTGCGATTGTGCGAGTTCTTAGAGCATCACACACACACCCCTCAAATTCCCAACTCCTGGGGGCTCGGTGGGGTGCTCTGGGGGCGCTCGAGGGACTTCCGGCTGCGGCTGACACCTCCCCCGCCCCCACCGCCCGGAGAACCGGTCCGAGACCTCCCTCTCCTCCCGGACGTTCCCCGGTCTTGGCCGTACGTGCCGCTCCTGCTGCGCCATGGCGTCCGCCTCGGCCCAGGCGGCGGCCCTGAGCGCCGAGCAGGCCAAGGGTGAGCCGCACAGCATCCTCGTCCGCGGGGGGCCGCCTGCCGGAGGAGGGGGCCGGCGGGGGGTACCATCCTCTTCCCTCCTCCGAGAGGGGTGCCCTAGAGCGGGGGGTTCGGGGCCGTGTTTGTCGGGTTACCGCGGCGTCAGCCCACTAATTCCCTGTCCTCTTCCCCGCCCTGTCGGCTGGGCCTGCCGGCCGTGCCCCGACGCCTCCCCCGGGACGCCACCCTGGGCTGCACCGGCCGCACAGTGGTCCTGGCCGAGGTGATCCAGGCGTTCTCGGCCCCGGAGAACGCCGTGCGCATGGACGAGGCCCGGGACAACGCGTGCAACGACATGGGCAAGATGCTGCAGTTCGTGCTGCCCGTGGCCACGCAGATCCAGCAGGAGGTCATCAAGGCCTACGGCTTCAGCTGCGACGGGGAAGGTGGGTCGGCAGGGTTGGTTGGGGAGAAAGGTGTGGATTCATTGTGTCCTGGAGCTGTCGTCTCCCTTCTCGCCACACGGAGGCAGCCGTGATCCGACTAATAGCGTTGGCACGGAGAGCCTAGGATCTACTCTGAAATATGCCAGGTGAAGTCCTGAGTGCATTTTGTAGTTACCATTCATACTATTATCCCATTTTGAGACGAGGAAACATGTTCTTGTAGTAAACTAAGCGCCGGAGGGCCGTCACAGCAGAGCTGGACCTGAATCCCGTTTTGAAAGCGTTTAGTCTGCACACTATCAGCTTCCGAAGCCCCTCCCAGGTGCTGCGGCCGCTCCCTGTTTATGAGGGTTGGAGGTTGAGTTTCTTTAATGAGCTCATGGTATTCCCCAAGGGTGTGAACTGTTACCTAAGGCCAGTTACCCCATGGCCCTGTGCGCTGTGGTTACAGATATGGGGTCTTTCCTGGGTGTTCATACGTTGGATTCCTCTGACTAAATTGCTAAAATTGCTCACCTAATAGGGAGAAGCTCACTGCTTCGGGATATTTCCATTTCCTGCATCCCATCTAGTTGTGCTCCGTGTAGACCAGAAAATGGTTGATTCAACCCCCCAGGGCAGGCAGAGGCCGTTCATGTGCCTTGTTTTGCAGACAGCTACCTGGCGAATGACTCATGCTCAAGCTACCCGCTCCTCTGAGCACCTCCATTCCCTGGGGATGTGGGTTGACCTCAGAATCCCTCCACCCCTTGCAGGTGTCCTGAAGTTTGCCCGCTTGGTCAAGTCTTACGAAGCCCAGGATCCTGAGATTGCCAGCCTGTCGGGCAAGCTGAAGGCACTGTTCCTGCCGCCTATGACACTGCCACCCCCCGGGCCTGCGTCAGGGGGCAGCGTTGCCGCCTCCTGAGAGCTGGCCTCCCCTGTTGACGGTGTCCCGGTGGATAATAAACATGCCTGTGATTTATTCTCCGCGTCGTTCTTTTGTGATCTAACAAGCCCACCTCCTGGCCCCGGATTCCCTCTGCCATTTCTGTGGCTCATGTCCCTTTCCAGATCCTTCTTTTGCTCTTATTTGGCCTAACCCTGCTCCAAGGTGGGCTCGGAGGGTGGGCCGGGCCCTCAAAACACCCCGAGTGGGTGGGCCTGCACAGGTAGTACCTCTGTGCCTTGTTTGGCAGACAGCTACCTGGCGAGTGACTCATGCTCAAGCTACCCTCTCCTCTGAGCACCTCCATTCCCTGGGGATGTGGGTTGACCTCAGATCCCCCCCCCCCCGCTTCCAGCCCCACGGACAGTCTCCTAGATAATCAGTTCCTCTTCACTTCCCCCTCCCCTACCTCTGGTGAGGAATGGGGCTTCCCTAGGCTTTTCCTGCGGGCCCCTTGGAGGCTGTGGACTAAAAAACGTCCCTCATTGGCTGGTGTTTACTTGGCCAGGGTTACTTCCTGGTCCTTGCCCCCACCCGCCCTCCTGCGGCCCTGTCAGCTTGCACTCAGGTGGAGCTCCAGGTAGCTCCTCCCCTTCCAATGGAAGGAGGCCCTGGACAGGCAGGCAGGCACGCCCTGGACTCTCGACTTGACGAAGGAGTAGGGCTGGAGGGAAAAGCAGGCTACCCGGAGGCCAGCCCCACCTCACCTGTGCCTTTTCTGGGGATCGTTAGTGCAGGGGCCTGTTTCTGCGGGGACCCTGGGCCTGGTGGACAGCATCGAGGAGGAAGTGGCTGAGTTCAGAGCGTTCTTCTCTACCAGGTCTGGGCCACTACACGCGGCTGCGCCTCGGGCTCAGCCCCGCCCCTGTGGCTCTCTGCCTGTGACTCCCCCAGCCCTCTGGGGAGATGCTGTCCCGTGGGTAAGTCTCCTGCTCCGTCTGGGTGCTACCATCTCCTGTTTGGAGGGAGGAGCAAGGTTCATGCTCACTTCTGACACCTGTGTGACCATGAGTGCAGTCTGTCCCTGCTCCCTGCATCCTGTCGCTACCTTCAAGTTTTGAGGAGCTCCAGGCTTATGCATGCTTCTGGGAGGACTCACCCCCTCCTCTGACACTTCTCCCTGACGCGCGTCTTGATTCTCACCATTGCATTTCTCTCTCTGCATCCTCTGTTCGCCTGCTTTTGCTGTCTGTTTAAGTTAGAGCTGTCCCCCCTGGGTAGCCCACATCACCTGCAACATAACGTGTCTGAAAGGCAAACCCCAGAAAGCTTGTCTTCGTTCCACTTTCTTTCAGTTCCTCTTCACTTCCCCTCCCCTGCATCATTCGCACACAGATACGTGGGGAGGTCCTTTTTTAAGGTTCTGGCAATAACTGTAAGGGACAGGATGGACAGGGTTCCTGCCCTCATGGAGCTTCATGTCTGTGGGAGGCAACGGACTACATCAAGAATAGGATAATTAATAGGATAATTTCTGATTCTCAGAAGGGAAAAGAAACAGCTGCATGTGCCAGCAGGTGCCTGGGCTGCCGATGGCCTCACTGGCTGGAGGGCCCGGGAGGGTTTTCCGCAGGAGGGAGGAGTGAGTCAGAGCCCCTGAGCAGAGGGAATGGTGAGGGAGAGGCTTTGCTGTGGGAACAGTGACACAAGGACAATGCCCGGAGCAGGGTCAGCTGGTGGGGAGGAAAGCAGGGCCCCGCAGGCCTGTTGGAGTTTGGGACCGGGTAGGCAGTGAAGACCTGCGTGGAGTGCTGGTGAGTAGGTAGGTTGGTCGCCCCCTTCTTTCCATTTGTGTTGCCTTCCCCAGGGCACACAGTTGTCGCTGTCAGACCCACAGACAGTCTTCTGGATAATCCCATTCATGCTTGTTTTCTTTTTCTTTTTTCTTTTTTCTTTTTTATTAATATATTTTACTGAGGTTTTATAGAGAGAAAGAGAGAGGGATAGAGAGTTAGAAATATCGATCAGCTGCCTCTTGCACAGCCCCTACTGGGGATGTGCCCACAACCAAGGTATATGTCCTTGACCGGAAACAAACCTGGGACCTTTCAGTCCGCAGGCCGACGCTCTATCCACTGAGCCAAACAGGTTTTGGCTATGCTCATTTTTTTACCAGCTGGTTGGGAAGGCCTCTCCCGGTGCAGATTCCTTTCCTGGTTCCTCAGCGGGCCTTGTGACACTCTGCAGCAGGCTCCGGCTTCTCAGAGTAGCTTTGCAGCATGCACCCTGCTCTGCTCATATGCAGCCCTGCTCCAGTGGATCCTGTGCCTGCCACCTTGGTGCTGCCTCTGTGGGAGCACCGGCCGCCAGTGTCCCCCTAGGGCCATGTCAGCACTCCCCCCATCCCCCATTGAGGTCTGCTGCCAAGTGTGGCCATTGTGCGGGGAAGGACAAGCTCTGGTGTCAAATAACCTTGGTCTGTCCACCTTCTCATTCATGAGCTAGTGACCTTGGGCAAGTTACTTAATGCCCCAGAGCTTGTTTTTTATTCTAAAGTTGAACTAATAAGACTAATAAATAGGGTTGACGTGTGGGTTAATTTGTGTTTTTAAAAAATATATATATTTTTATTGATATTTTACAGAGCAGAAGAGAGAGGGATAAAGAGTTAGAAACATCGATGAGAGAGAATCATCAATCAGCTGCCTCTTGCACACCCCCCACTAGGGATGTGCCTGCAGCCAAGGTACATGCCCTTGACTGGATCGAACCTGGGACCTTTCAGTCTACAGACCGACGCTCTGTCCACTGAGCCAAACCGGTTTCAGTGTGTGAGTTAATTTGTCATTTTATTTTTTAATATATTTTATATATTAAATATATATATATATTATTGATATTTCACGGAGAGGAGGAAGGGAGAGAGATAGAGAGCTAGAAACACAGATGAGAGAGAAACATCGACTCTTGCACCAAGGTACATGCCCTTTTTTTTTTTTAATATATTTTATTGATATTTTACAGAGAGGAGGAAGGAGAGAGCTAGAGAGCTAGAAATGTCGATGAGAGAGAAACATCAACCAGCTGCCTCCTGCAGACCCCTACCAGGGATGTGTCAGCAACAAATGGATCAAACCTGGGACCTTTCAGTCTGCAGACCGCTGCTCTACCACTGAGCCAAACCAGCTTCGGCAATGTGTGTGGGTTAATTTGTAATTGAAAAGTTGTTGGCACTAAAACCCTACTGTGTATCAGCTTAAAAAAATTATATATATAATTTCAGAGAGGAAGGGGGAGAGAAATAGAAACATCAATGATGGCCTGGCCAGTATAGCTCAGTGGTTGAGTGTTGACCTATAACCAGGAGGTCACAGTTCAATTCTGGTCAGGATACATACCTGGGTTGTAGGCTCCATCCTCAGGGTGGGACGTGCAGGAGGCAGCCGATCAATGATTCTTATCATTGATGTTTCTATCTCTCTTTCTTTACCAGGTGCTGAGGAATGGGGAAGCTCAGTAATTTTCTAGGCATTTCACTTTGCTATTTAGACCCCTTATCTTTCTACTTCCACCACCGATCTCTATCTCTACCTTTATCTCCCTGCTTCCCAAATGAATACTTTTCTCTTCTGAAGCACTAGGCACTTATTTTTGTAACTCTCAGCCTCCTTCAGCCTATTTTCCTTCCTTAAAAAAGTGGGGGAAATAACCTCTACATCAGAAGGATGTATGAGGCCCAGGTGAGATCCTGGAGCGCTTATGTCAGGGTAAGGAAGGCTGTGATTCTTTATTTTCCTGTTAAAGGGACAGCAGAGACTGTGCATCTTATCTTAGTGTCTTCTGGCTTGACACCTTCCAGAAAAAGTCCTTCCTCTTCCAAGGGTCAGGAGATCCTGGGTGCCTGGCTAGTTTCTTCCCACCCAGTAGGTTTAAGCCCGAAGGAGAGTGGCCTGGGGCTGGGGCACAGTGGGCGTTCAGTGCTGAGCATGGACCTGGGACTTTGAGTGTCCAGGTGGGTATTTGTACCAAACCAGGCATGTGTGTAGATAGATATGGGCAATGAGGTACATGTAGTGGGACTGTGTGCATAGGTGGGTGATTGTATGTGTGTGTGTGTGTGTGTGTGTGTGTGTGACAAGGGAGGGTATATATGTAGGACCAGGAACTGGACTTGTGACCATGTACCTGTGTAGGTTTTGGTGAACCTGTTTATGGGACACGCACTCTGTGCCAGGCATTGTGCCAAGCTTTGAACATTAAAAAAAATATATATTTTTTATTGATTTTTTACAGAGAGGAAGAGAGAGGGAGAGAGAATTAGGAACATCGATGAGAGAGAATCATCGATCAGCTGCCTCTTGCACCCTCGCTACTGGGGATATGCCCACAACCAAGGTATAGTCCTTGAATGGGATCAAACCTGGGATCTTTTAGTCTGCAGGCCGACGCTCTATCCACTGAGCCAAACCAGTTTTGGCAACTTTGAACATTTGGAGGTGAGCTAGACTGGTGGTGGACCCCTGTGGCGGAGGAGACTGTGCGGCCGCTCCTCCTGCCCTCGCTGTGGGAGGGAGGTCATGGTCAGTTAGCGTGGCTGGGAGCTCAGTGGGTTACAGCGTCATCCCATAAGCCAAGATTGCGGGTTTGGTTTCTAGTCAGGGCACATACAACAAGCAGCCAGTGACTGCATAAATACGTGGAATGACAAATCAGTGTTTCTCTTTCTCTCTCTCCCTTCCTGTCTCTTTCTAAAAAATCAATTAAAAACATTTTTAAAAGACTGAAGGGGTAGTTAGCGTCAGACCACGCAATAACCAGGCCAAGCAAGTTAGTTCCCCAGGGTACCAGAAAGAGATGAAAAAGAGCCGTTTTTGGGGGGGGGAGGGAAGGGGTTAAGGGAGGATTGATGTTTGATGTTTTAAAAAAATGATATAGTAGCTCTGGCTGGTTTGGCTCAGTGGATAGAGAATCATCCTGTGAACTGAAAGGCCCCAGGTTCGATTCTGGTCAAGGGCATGTACCTTGGTTGCGGGCACATCCCCAGTAAGAGGTGTGCATGAGGCAGCTGATCGATGTTTCTCTCTCATTGATGTTTCTGACTCTCCATTTCTCCCCCTTCCTCTCTGTAAAAAAAATAATAAAAAATATTTTTTAAAAAATAAAAAAATGATAATAGTAGTCATCATAGAAAAACAGATTTTTGTTGGGCTTTAACACTTTGTTATTTTCCCCCCTTATTTTTTATTGAGGTTGGCACACATAGTGTGCATGTCTGTAAGCATACAACCCGATGAACATCAGCACACACCCATGTATACACCACCCACATCAAGATGTAGAGCATTACCAGCAGCCCAGAGCTTTCCTGGAAATTGCTACCTCCCAGTCAGTTTATTTTTATGAAGGTAACACATGCCCATGCTACATCTTCCTAAAAGGTTTAAGGAAAAAGTCAACGTCCCTCCAGCCCTCCCCTCCAGCCACCCAGACCCCCCCCCCCCCCCCCCCCGCTAGGGGAAGCCACCAATCTGAGTTTCTTGTCTATTCTTGGTTGGGCTTTTTTCCTCTCATGTTGGTTGGGTGGTGTTTGCGTAGAATCACACACAGAGAGCGTCAGGCACGTTTAATGTGTAGGGCCTCTCAAGGTCAACCGGCCCTGAGAATATCCGCCATGGCAGGGCCTTGACCCCAGACAGACCTCGGTCAGAGCCCTGAGCTCTGGCTGATTGAGACCAGACCCAAGAAGCTAAGGCACAGACATAGGGGGGTTGGACCAAAGGGGTCTGTCAACTCCGTCCCTACCTGCCTCCTGACTCCCACTTCCTCTCTCCCTCCCCCCCATTCTGTTCCTGGGCTCCAACTACACGGTTAGGGCAGGGTAGGTGGCAAAGGCCTGGGGGCAAGAAGTAGAAAAGGTGCAAGTTTTACTGGGGCCATTCTATCCACCCCTCTGCCCCAGGGGCACCTCTGCAGATGGGCATGTGGGCATGCTGGGAAGGCGAGTGATATAGATCCTCCCTTCCTCCAGTTGATGGACTGAAGTAAACCTCACTTGTGGCCAGATATTCCTGAGCTCTGAACCACCAATCAGCACCTGCCAAATACCCTAAGCACCCCCCCCCCCCATTCCTAAGTCCCTAGGTCCTTAATCATAGGCCTTACATGAAACCACCAATCAGCGTGTGCTGAGTGCCCTAAACCCCGCCTCCTATCCTCCCCTTAAAAAGGGCTTGGACCCCGGCCCTCGTGCGCGCTCTCTCTCTCTCTCTCTCTCTCTCTCTCTCTCTCTCTCTCTCTCTCTCTCTCTTTCTCTCAGCAGCTGGCAGTGGTACTCTTCTCTTCAATAAAGCCTATGTCCTGGAATCTTGGTCTCCGGCCCTCTCTATTTCATCTTTTAGCGAGGGCACCCTCCTTCCGAAGCATCTGCAGGTCTTCGCTGTTGGGGACTCGCCCCTTCCCGCTACAAGTTCCCTACATTCCCTGAGCCTCAGGCCCCTGGTCTGTAAAATGGGCATAAACACAGTTCCTGCTTCACGGGGCTATTGTGAGGAGTAAACCAGGACCTTATAGCACAATGCCTGGCACACGGCATGACTCCATGACATGGCAGTGATCACCCTGACCATTATCGTTAGCTCGGCACAGGGAAGGCAGTGTGGAAGCAGCTGGGAGGAGGAAGAGATGGCATGTGACTGTGGGTTCACATGTATGAAGCATGACCTCCTGGAAGGTGCCCGGCGTCCATGTGTCCTTCTTTGTGGAATGCCGTGCTCCGAAGGCCTTTGATGGCAGCAGACATGTGGAAAGTGGGCCCCAACCCCACCCCCACTGCCACCGTCTCTGCTAAAATGAGAAGTTACAGTGAGTTCCCCCCATGGGGCCTCGCCCCTTCCTGTCCCCGCCCTGTAGGCAGCCCTAGGCCATTGGAGTGGCAGCCCCAGAAGCAGGACTGCAGGGCGGCAAGACGGCCTGGGTGCTGAGGGCCGCGGCCTGGGTGCTGAGGGCCGCGTCTGAGGCTGAGCCCTAGCGGTCTCCGCTCGCCCGGACTCCCCGGCGCTACCTTGTTCCCTGTGCCCGCTTCCTCTTGGGGAGCCCCCAGGATGGTGAGGTAAGCGCCCCGGACCCACGGGTGGCAGGAGGCATGGGAGCCCTGGAGGAGCCTGTGGACCTCTCCTCACCGCCCTCCTGGGCCTCCCAGGTGGTTCCACCGAGACCTCAGTGGGCTGGATGCAGAGACCCTGCTCAAGGGCCGAGGTGTCCATGGGAGTTTCCTGGCCCGGCCTAGTCGCAAGAACCAGGGAGACTTCTCCCTTTCGGTCAGGTAGGTGGCCCTCAACTCCGCCCGGGACCAACATTTCGGCAGTTCATTGGGCAGTTGACTCCCTTTTGGTAGTGCCCACTCCCCAGCCCCCAGCCCCCAGCCCAGCATGTCCCTGTTGCTGTCTGTGTCCACCCCATCCTGTGTGTGTGTGTCCCATTCTTAGGACCCCAGCCTATCCCCCCCGCCCCCCCCTCCCCCGTCCCCACCTCTCCTCCTCCTGCACCCACCGGCCTCACCGCCTGGCGTCCTGCAGGGTCGGGGATCAGGTGACCCACATTCGGATCCAGAACTCGGGGGATTTCTACGACCTGTATGGAGGGGAGAAGTTTGCGACACTGACGGAGCTGGTGGAGTACTACACGCAGCAGCACGGCGTCTTACAGGACCGTGACGGCACCATCATCCACCTCAAGTACCCGCTGAACTGCTCTGACCCGACCAGTGAGAGGTGAGGGGCTCTGCTTCCGCCCCCAGCTGGCAGCGTCTTCCCCATCCCAGTTCCCCACCAGGGCTCTGGGGCCCTGCTTCTTCCATGTGACCCGAGGGCTGTGTCTCAGGGGATTAACCTCCTACCCCTTTCCATCTACCCCTGAGGAAGTGAGAGGTCGCCTCACCCTGTAGGGTCCCTGTCGACTGGCAACCCAGGCCGCCCTGGTGGCAGAGAGTCCGCTCCTTAGGGGCCAGCTCTGTTTGTTGTTAGAAAGCCCTTCTTCCTTCTATGGAACTGAATCTGGCTTCCTGTAACTATTCCCTCCCTCTGGACAGGTCCACACAGGGAGAGGTGGAGAAGGAGCAGGGACAAAAGTCTCTGAGGACACTTAGCGCCTTACCTCAGCAGACCAGCGGGAATGGGTCTGCCTCTGGGGGCTGGTAGGGCATCACTGTGTGGGGTGGTCACGTGCGTAAGGGCCCAGGACTGGACCCAGGGTAATGATACCCAAGCCATTTCCCTTCCATCCCTTTGGCTCCAACGCGGTGGCCGCAGAGTTGGGCTGGCCACTCTCCAGGTGGTCCCCCTAAAGCTTGGGCGGGCGGTGGGGGCCCCTGAACACTCAGGGTCACAGGAGGTTCATTTTAGCAGCCACATCTCAATGACAGCTCCTGTTAAGGCGAAGCGTGTTTTCCCCCTGGCCCCCCTCCTCACCCCCGTACTCCTGTGGCCAAGCCAGCCTGCCCTCGTACTGTGTTTGTGTATTGATTGTTGACACGATTCTGAACCTTGATTCTGTCCATTTTCAGTGCTTCTGAGATGCACGCATCAGTATTTTTGTTCAAGTGATTGATTAAGACTGAGAAGTGGAGGAGGTGAGGTGAAGGCCCCATTGCCCCACCATGACTCTCTCCAGTCCGCATGAAGCCACTGAACACTTTTTTTTTTTTAATATATTTATTTTATTGTTTTTTTACAGAGAGGAAAGGAGAGGGATAGAGAGCTAGAAACATCGATGAGAGAGAAACATCGACCAGCTGCCTCCTGCACATCCCACACTGGGGACCAGCTGCCTCCTGCACACTCCCCATCGGGGATGTGCCGCCACCAAGGTACATGCCCTTGACCGGAATCGAACCTGGGACCTTTCAGTCCGCAGGCCGAAGCTCTATCTACTGAGCCAAACCGGTTTCGGCTGATCACTTCTTTTGAAGCCATGCCTTCTAGGAGTGAAGCCTCAGCATTGATGACCTCGTCCTTTCTCCCCCCTTTTCTTAGGTCCCCTCGGTAACATGCCTGGCGATTTGTCACCCAGACCCGCTGGACTTGTGTGTCCTCTTTCAGCCCTTGCCCACAGCCAGGTTCTTGCAGTAGGAGAATGGGGTTACCAGGCCTTAGAGAAGCAGCAGGTTGGAAACTGAGCTGGGAGAGGGACAGAGGGGCCGAGCAGACCCCCCGGGGAGGAGGCTGAGGCCTGGGTTCACATCGCTTAGGAGAAACAGGCGGAGAATAGAGCTGGGGCTGGGGGTGGTCAAGACCAGGGAAGCTGACTCGAAGAGGCCCTTTCGGTTACCTACGCCTGGAACTCTCTGGGCTCACCCCTGACCTGGGAAGTGTGTGTGGGAGGCTCTCTCCAGACCTCTGTGTCCCTGCAGCGGCCCCTCCCCTCCACAGGAATTTGCATTTGTCCCCTTGATGGCTAGCTCTGTGTCTGTGGTCAGCCTGACATTTGCATGGAAACTTCCTCATCCTGGGGCCTGGGGGAAGAGGGTTAGCCCCCTCCTCATCGCCCTGGGGCTCAGGCCTGTTCCTGAGCAGCCGGATGGGGTGGCCCAGGGGGGGCCCTGGAGAGGCCAGGGGACTCTGAAGCCCTTTGAGCTGTGGTCGCCTCTGGGCCGGAGTGAGATGCCCTCTTCCCCACCCCCCATCCTTGCGGTTGGAAAATGCACCCCCCCCCCCCCCCTCCCGAGGTCCCTGGGCTGAGGAAACCTCACAACCTCACTTCTCACTCTCTCCCCAGAAGGAGTTTTGTGTTTTTTCCATCACGTGGTTTCCTGTGGGGCTGGGCACTGTGGGGCTGCCGTTTCCTCCTGGGAAGGGGGTGTGCTTCGGGGAAAGGTCCTAGTTCTGCTTTCTGCCCCTTTGCGCCCCTCGGAGCCCCAGCCGCCTCTCCGATGGCATCATCCTGGGCACCTCAGAGCCCCCCAAACTGCTCTCCCCACTGGTTGTCCATCTTCCCTGCCTCCCTGGAGAGGCTCTTTCCATCAGGCCTCCCTGGGGACTTCCGTCTCTCCCATCACGGCGCTCTGTGGTTTGACCTTTGTCTGCGTTCCTCTTGGTTGCCGTCCTCTTTCTCTAGCCCAGCCCCAGCCCCAGCCCAGCCCCGTCTTGCATGGAGACCCTTTCTGCGTGTCTCCCTCGGTGTGTTCTGGATAGGGCCCGCCTTTCTGCCTTTGTCTTAACCTTCCAGAGGTGGACCTGATTGGCACTCCTGAGGTTTGCTTCTTAATCAGCAAGGGCCTTGGGCCAGTGTGCAACTAGCATCCTCAGTCTCCTCATCTGTAAAATGGGCATGGTACCTGCCTCTTTGTGTTTTGTTGAGTAACAGACCTACATCTGGTGGTGGGTTTGGAAGCCATCAACATCCATGATGAGAGAGAATGATTGGCTGCCTCCTGCACGCCTCCACAACCCAGCATGTGCCCTCACTGGGATTTGAACCGCGGCCTCCTGGTTCACAGGTTGAAGCTCAGGCGCTGTTTCCCTGTCCCTCCCTCCCTGTGAGCCTCTCGGCTCCGTGCCTGCCCCTTGGCCCAGGACCCACCTTCCCCGATGCTGCCTTTTCCAGGTGGTACCATGGCCACATGTCGGGGGGGCAGGCGGAGACGCTGCTGCAGGCCAAGGGTGAGCCCTGGACGTTCCTGGTGCGGGAGAGTCTCAGCCAGCCCGGAGATTTTGTGTTGTCCGTGCTCAACGACCAGCCCAAAGCCGGCCCCGGCTCCCCGCTCAGAGTCACCCATATCAAGGTCATGTGCGAGGTGAGGCCGCCTGGCGGCGGGGGAGCATCTTGCTGGGGCTCCCTTCCATCCGTGTTGGCAGCGTGGGCGCAGGGGAGAGTCAGCCAGGCTTCCGGCCGAGGCTGGGGGTGGAGGGAGAGGGGTGGCCTGCGCCTGCGGGTGGCCTGACTGGGTGTCCCTCAGGGTGGACGCTACACGGTGGGTGGTTCGGAGACCTTCGACAGCCTCACGGACCTGGTGGAGCACTTCAAGAAGACCGGGATCGAGGAGGCCTCAGGCGCCTTTGTCTACCTGCGGCAGGTGAGGCGTGGGTCTGGCTGCCTCCTTCCTCCCCCTGTGGGGTGCTGTCCGCAGCCTCCCTCGCCTCTGAGCGCTGGAAGGCGCTGACTTCTCGCCCTCGCCCACCCCAGCCATACTATGCCACGCGGGTGAACGCCGCTGACATTGAGAACCGGGTCTTGGAGCTGAACAAGAAGCAGCAGTCGGAGAACACGGCCAAGGCTGGATTCTGGGAGGAGTTCGAGGTGCAAGATGGGGACTATGAGGGTGACCTGCATGGGATGCCAGGCAGACCTCTCTCTCTCTCTCTCTCTTTCTCTCTCTCTCTCTCTCTCTCTCTCTCTCTCTCTCTCTCACCATACCTGATACCGATCTGCCCCCTGCTATCTCCCGCCATGGACGCCCCCTTTGGGGCTGGCGCTCCATTGCCCTTCTCACCCTGCAGAGTCTGCAGAAGCAGGAGGTGAAGAACCTGCACGAGCGGCTGGAAGGGCAGCGGCCAGAAAACAAGAGCAAGAACCGTTACAAGAACATTCTCCCCTGTGAGCACCTCATGGCCTCCATTCCTCCCCCTTTCCCCCAGGGCCTCCCTCCTCCCCATGGCCTCCATCCCTCCCCCTCACCCCATGGCCTCCATCCCTCCCCTTTCCCCCAGGGCCTCCCCTCCTCCCCAAGGCCTCCATTCCTCCCCCTTCCCCCCAAGGCCTCTCCCCTTCCTCATGGCCTCCATCTGTCCCCCTTCCTCCTTAACCTCCCCTCCTCCTCATGGCCTCCATCCCTCCCCCTTCACCCTAGGGCCTCCCCCCCCCTCCCTATGGCCTCCATTCCTCCCCCTCCCAAGCAGCATCCACCCAGGAGATTCTCCTTCCCTCAGGGACCCCATCTCCTAGGGTCCCTACCCCCAACTCAGGGAGGATCCACCTCCCTCCCACACAACAGAACCTTCCCTCCTTCATTTCATATATTTTATTGTTTTGGTTTTTTTTTTTACAGAGAGGGAGAGGGATAGAGAGTTAGAAACATCAATGAGAGAGAAACATTGATCAGCTGCCTCCTGCACACCCCCTACTGGGGATGTGCCCGCAACCAAAGTACATGCCCTTGACCGGAATCGAAGCTGGGACCCTTCAGTCCGCAGGCCGACGCTCTATCCACTGAGCCAAACCGGTTTCGGCGAACCTTCCCTCTTTCAAAAAGCCTCTAATCCTCCCGAGCCTCCCACACCCACCTCCCTCTCACTCTCCTTCCTTTGAAACCTCCACTCCCACGCATGGAGCTGCCCCGCCCGCCCTCAGTGCTCCGAGAGCCTCGTGGCTTCTCAGACAAGAACGGCCTCTGAGCCGAGGAAGGGTCTGAAGCAGGGGCCGGTGAGTTCCTGCTGACCCAGACCCTCCTTGCTTCCTCCCTGCTCCCTCTCAGTCGACCACAGCCGAGTGATCCTGCAGGGACGTGACAGTAACATCCCTGGGTCCGACTACATCAACGCCAACTACATCAAGGTCTGTGTTGCCCACCAGTCATGCAGGAGGAGGGGCTGGGCCTGGGAACTCCCCGTCTCAGGGAGGTACCAGGTCCAGAGACACGTGGGCAAAGCCAACACTGGTGGTGGGGATGAAGGGCGTGTCCCCGGCCGAGAGGCTCACGGTCCCGGCGTGCGTCTGTCTGCCCTTGCGTCTAGAACCAGCTGCTAGGCCCCGATGAGAACGCTAAGACCTACATCGCCAGCCAGGGCTGCCTGGACGCCACCGTCAACGACTTCTGGCAGATGACGTGGCAGGAGAACAGCCGTGTCATCGTCATGACCACCCGCGAAGTGGAGAAAGGCCGGGTAGGGCCGAACCCCTCGCCACCCCCTGGTCCCCACATCCCCTCCCCGGTACTCATTGTCCACCACTGTTAAACCAGAGAATGCCAGGGCAGAAAGGCACCTCAGAGGGCAAGGGTCCAACCCTTGTTGGGAAACTGAGGCACAGAGACAAAGTCTCGGGTACACCCTGATTCCCCAGATCTCTGCTTCCAGCCGTGGGCTCTCCTGACCACCAGGCACAGGTTTTATTTATTTATTTTTAAAATACGTTTTTATTGGATTCAGAGAGGATGAAGGAGGGAGAGAGAGAGAGAGAGATAGAAACATCCATGATGAGAGAGAATGATGGGCTGCCTCCTGCACCCCTCCACCAGGGATGGAGCCTGCAACCCAGGCATGCATGTGCCCTGACTGGGATTTGAACCGCGAGCGACCTCCTGGTTCACAGGTTGAAGCTCAACCACTGGGTCATGCTGGCCGGGCCAGACACAGGTTTTAGATGGGCCTTCTGCCTTAACGTGTCCGGAAGCAAACATTCCGCCTGCCCCTCTCCTTCTTACCCCCATCCAGGCAAGAGCCCCTCCTGTTCCTCTGCCTCAGAAGCCCCTCTGGAGTCAGCCCCCCCCCTCACCTGCACGAAAGCTCTGTCCTGGAGCCAGGGGGATCCCGTCCAGATTGTGAACGGTTGTCTTTCGGATAGTTACACTCGAAGGCCTGGCAGTCGGTTTCTCCCTGGCACCCGCTGCCTGCAATGGGCCAGGCCCTGTCAGGTTTCTGAGCCTTTGCACAAGCTCATTTGCTGCTAGGAAGCGACTTCCTCTCTCCACACTATCTCTGCCTGACAGACTCCTCATGTGTGAAGACCCAGTCCACACGCTGCCTCCTCGTGAAGCCGCCTCTGATTTCCTCCTTAATGTAGGGGAGAATCACCCTCCACCTTGCTCCATGTTTCCCTGTCCACCTGTCTCTGTGAGCTCCCGGAGGCCCCGCGGTGCAGACTGCATCTTTTTTTTATTTTTTTTTAAATTTCTTTATTGATTAAGGTATCACATTTGTCCGCAGCCCCCCATTCCAATCCCCACCCCCACCCCCACTCATGCCCCCACCCCCCTATTGTCCTTGACCACTGGTTAGGCTCATATGTGTGCACATAAGTCCTTTGGTTGATCTCTCCCTTTTATCCCCACCCTCCCTCTGAGGTCCAACAGTCTGACCCATGGCTCCTTATCTCTGGGTCTGTTCTTGTTCATCAGTCTATGTCGTTCACCATTTCCCTTAGATGAGTGAGATCATGTCCTACTGGAAATATAAGAATCAAAAACGAGACAAGCAATAATCATTATGCTGAAAGGCATATGACTCAGTCTGTAGTGAGTTTCTTTCTGAGCCACCAGTTCTTTTCAGACTGCATCTTATTTGTATTTGTAACGCCGGCCTGGCTTGCACCGCGGATGTGTACTGAAGGACCCGTCAGGCGGCTGGGCGGGACTCAGCACTGGATCCTAAGGCTCTAACTCTTGGCCAGTCCATTTGTTCCTCTAAGCCAGTGGTCGGCAAATTTACTAGTCAACAGAGCCAAATATCAACAGGACAACGATTGATATTTCTTTGGAGAGCCACCTTTTTAAAACTTAAACTTCTTCTAAATAGACTCGCCCAGGCCATGGCATTTTGTGGAAGAGCCACACTCAAGGGGCCAAAGAGCCGCCTATGGCTCGAAGCCGCAGTTTGCCGACTACGGCGCTAAGCGATGTTGACTGGGCTGGCACCAGGACTCGGGACCTCGAGCAGGGCCTGGAGCACGTGTGTCATGCTTCTCACGCTCGCCCTCCGCCTTCTCTTCTAGAACAAATGTGTCCCATACTGGCCAGAGGTGGGCACTCAGCGTGTGTACGGATCCTACACGGTGACCAACTGTGGGGAACACGACACAGCTGAGTACAAACTCCGCACCTTACAGATCTCCCCGCTGGACAACGTGAGTGTCCCCCGCCCTTGCTGCTCCCCCTCCCCCCCCCGCCCTCCTTGTCCGCTTGGGAGGGGGATGGAGCCATGGGCGGGAGCAGGGGCCACTGACTCCGTGTCCTGGGCCCAGGAGAACCTGGTGCGGGAAATCTGGCACTACCAGTACCTGAGCTGGCCTGACCACGGGGTCCCGAGTGAGCCTGGGGGCGTCCTCAGCTTCCTGGACCAGATCAACCAGAAGCAGGAGATGCTGCCTCATGCAGGGCCCATCATCGTGCACTGCAGGTGAGAGGGATGGGAACCCCACTGGCAGCAGCTGGCAGGCATGTCCGCCAAGGCCCACGCACCACAGCACCGTTGTGAGCAGTTTACGAAGGAAGCAGCCTCTTCCCGTTTTCCTGCTGGCTGCAGATCCCTGGTGGAGCTTAGCTTGCACCGAGCCCCCTGTCGGACCCTGTGCCAGGGAGTGGCTTTCTCAGAGCCGCCTGGGTGTGCCATTCCCCCACTCTGCCAGAGGCAGATGAAGACACAGGCCCAGCCCCTCGGCAGCTCACCCTGCTCAGGGCAGAGCCTAGACTGGCACTCGCAAGAGCCCTCGGTCCCCATCACCTTTTTCTAGCATTGGCCCATTCAGCCTCCCCCTCCTCCTCCTCCTCCTCTTTCTCCTCCTCCTCCTCCTCCTACTCCTCCTCCTCCTCTTCTTCTCCTCCTCCTCCTCCTCCTCCTCCTCCTCCTCCTCCTCCTCCTCCTTTTTTTAATGTATTTTATTGATTTTTTTACAGAGAGGAAGGGAGAGGGATAGAGAGCTAGAAGTATCCATGAGCGATAAATATCAACCAGCTGCCTCTTGCACCCCCCCCACCGGGGATGTGCCCGCAACCAAGGCACATGCCCTTGACCGGAAATGAACCTGGGTTCCTTCAGTCCGCAGACCGATGCTCTATCCACTGAGCCAAACCGGTTTCGGCAGAAGCCCCGTTTCTTCTTGGCACCAACACCCTCCATGTGGGGCAGTGTGTCTCCCCATCCCTTCTCTGCAAGTGTGTGTGGGGGTGGTGGTGGTGGTGGAAGGGTGGGGAGGTGGGGAGGTGGGGGTGGGGTGGGGGCGGGGCTTCTTCCTTGCTGCTCCCACTCTCTCCTTCCCAGCCAGTGGCCCCAGCTTGGCTCCCGAGTGCGGAGTGCGTAGGGACGGTGATGCCAGGAGGGGCGCATGCCTCACTAGCTCCAGGAGAGACCCTCATGTTTATGATCAGGAGAGCCCATTCCTGTGGGGAGGCGGGGTTCAGCGAGGAGGTCTGAGGGGGGAGTCCTGCGGGGACGGGGTCCAGGGCGGCTGGTTTAAATTCCAGCTCCTCTACTCATTGGCTGGGTGACCTTGGACACATTGCTTCACTTCTGTGACCCTCAGATTCTCGGCTGTACCTATCTCTGTGTCTGGAATATAGTAAAAACTCGGGAAATGGGAGCTGTCCGGATGGAGGGAGTAGCAGCCTGCTCTGTGCTCTCTCTCAGCTTCCTGTGAGCTGGGCCTGAGGGCCTGACTCCTGCCCGCCTGCAGCTGCGTTCCCTGGGCAGGGTTTGGGGTGCCTGGATCTGGAGGTGCCCCTCTCCCCAATGCTCCACTTCCAGGGGCTGCTCTGCATCCATTACCAGGAATGACCCTCCCGCTGTCTCCCCCCCCCCCCCATTCTTGAAATCCCCATGGTCTTTATTTAGACCATACAGGAAGGAAGTGGGTGAAGGGGGTTTATTTTTTGACAATCTGGGTATGAAATTAGTGAGACTCAGGGCACCAGCCTGGCAGGCCCAGTGAAGGGGCAGGACTGAGGGACGTTTGCCCAAGGGTGGAAGCAGAAGACGGGGGTGGGGGTGGGGATGGAGCTTCCTGATGCACTGCTCCTCCATGTCTGTCTCCTGGGCGCCCTGCACCCCACTGTCTGAGGGCTGCTCCTTTCCTGCCATCAGCTCTGAAGAAAAAGGGAAATGAAGCCCCAAAGACAGAGGCTCCAAATATAACTCTCGAAGGGAGGAGGGGAAGGCCTCCCTCGGGCCAAGGGTTTGGGAGAAGGTCAGGGGAGTGGGCAGGACAGCGGTGGGACTGGGGATCTTGGATCTTCTGGGGGGTGGGCAGCAGCCACTGGCCAGGAATGAGTCAAGGCAGGGGTTGGGGGAAGAGGGAGGAGAGGGACGGCTGGCACTGAGCTCTGGGCCCTTTCTGGGGAGATGTGGCCCTGGCCACTGATGGCGCCCCTTCTCTCCCCAGCGCGGGCATCGGCCGCACGGGCACCATCATCGTCATCGACATGCTCATGGAGAGCATCAGCACCAAAGGTGAGGGGCCACGGGGAAGGCAGGGGGGCGGGCGGGCGGGCAGGCAAGCAGCTCCTCGGGGCCGGTCTCCACCTGGGCCTGAGGTCCAACTGCCCTCCCCGCTCAGGCCTGGACTGTGACATTGACATCCAGAAGACAATCCAGATGGTGCGGGCCCAGCGCTCGGGCATGGTGCAGACGGAGGCTCAGTACAAGTTCATCTACGTGGCCATCGCCCAGTACATCGAAACCACCAAGAAGAAGCTGGAGGTCATGCAGGTGCGTGCCCTGCAAGGCCTGGGGTGCGGGGGCTGTGGAGGGCCGTGGGCATGACCTGGTCCTGCTGAGACCACTGCCCTCTTACCACCCTTCTGCCTACAGTCCCAGAAGGGCCAGGAGTCCGAGTACGGGAACATCTCCTACCCCCCAGCCTTGAAGAACACCCACGCCCAGGCCTTTCGAACCTCCTCCAAGTGAGTGGCCCCCCCTGCCTGCCGGCCACCCCCCAGCCTCCTCCCCCGCTTGACCCGCCCTTTCCAGAGAGCACAGGCGCTGCTGTTGAGGAGACCTGGGTTCAAGTTCAAGCTTGCTTCTCACTACCTGTGCTTCGTGTTTCCTGCATGCTCTCTGCATGGGGCCTGTGCTATATAACAATGTACCTACCTATATAGTTTAAGTTAAAAAAAATTGGCTCCAAAAGGAATTTCCATCGTTGTACTGTTGATGTCTGACTCTGTTGACTAATGAGTTTGCCGACCACTAGACTAGTGTATGAGATGCAGCCTCTGCCCCAAGGAGCTCCCAGTCTAGTGTAAGGACAGTGACCGGGCCTCCTCACTTTCCTGGCCTCAGAGCACTTGGCTGTGAGAGAGAGGGACCAGAGGCGGCGGCTGGGGCTGGGTAACCCTGCTCTGTCTCCTGACCTGCGCCCCCTGCCCACATGTGTCCACCCCACCTGCAGGCACAAGGAGGATGTGTATGAGAACCTGCACAGTAAGAGCAAGAAGGAGGAGAAGGTGAAGAAGCAGCGGTCAGCAGAGAAGGACAAGAGCAAGGGCTCCCTCAAGAAGAAGTGAGCTGGACACCATCCTGAGGTGGCCATGGTACGTATGGCCCTTCTGCTCGGGGCTCTCCCCTGACCTGTCCCCCACCCCCCACCCCATGTCCCCTGGCCCCTCTGCTCAGGGCTCTCCCCTGCCCTGTCCCCCATGTCCCCTGGTCCCTCTGCTCAGGGCTCTCCCCTGCCCTGTCCCCTATGTCCCCTGGCCCCTCTGCTCAGAGCTCTCCCCTGCCCTGCCCCAGTGTCCCCTGGATCTGGTGCTCACCCTGGATGGATGACATGCTCAGCCATCCCAGACCTGCTCTTGTCCCCCCTCCTCGGGTTCCCACCTCCCCCTTAACTCCCTTACTCCCTTCTCTCGGCAGCCTCAGCCCTGAGAAGCCTCCAGAGAATGTCAGCAGCCTGAACCTGGGAGCTGCCCGCCCAATTCCATTGTAATTTAAACGGTCATGTTACCCCCTCCCCCTCCCAGACCCTGTAAATAGCCCAGCAAGGCTCCAGGCCCTTCTACACTGTAAATAAAGCCTGAGGATCCCTGTGTGTGGGTCTCTAACCGTGCTGCCGCCGGAGGGATGGGCAGGAGGGGGTGAGGATGTGTGTGTGTGTGTGTGTGTGTGTGTGAAAGCTCCACCTTTACCCTCAGACAGACCTGGTTCTGGACTCTGCTTAACACACCAGGAGTGTAACCGAGGCCCAGGTTCCCCAGTCTCTTTCCTGGAAAGTGGGGGACGACCCTAACAGGCTGGCCGTGGAGACCACTGAGATGAGGCATGACGATCCCAAGGGCAACGATCATGGTTACACGCTCGCCCTGTGTCAGGCACTGGTTACTTTTTCTTTTTTTAAAATGCTCACCCAAGGATCTTTTCATTGATTTTTAGGGAGCGTGTAAGAGAGAGGGAAAGACAGAAATATCGATGTGGGAGAAACACGTCGAACGGTTGCCTTCTGCACGTTCCCCGGCCAGGGTCTGCAGCTGTGCCCTTGACCGGAATCGAACCCAGGACCCTTTGGTCTGCAGGCTGACACTCTATCCACTGGGTCAAACTGGCTAGGGCAGCATTGTTTACTTTTGTTTGTTTTACATAAGAGTTTATTTGAGCCAAACTGACCACATATGCCAGGGCGCAAGATGAATGCTCCTTGCTGTCAGGCACTGTTTAAAAGACTGCATGTAAAAAAAAAAAAAGTGCATGTATTCCCTGGCTGGTGTGGCTCAGTTGGTTGAGCATCATCCTGTGCAGCGAAAGGTCACCTTGACAGGGCACTTACCCAGGTTTCAGGTTTGATCCCCAGTCAGAGTGCATACAGGAGGCAACTGAATGATGTTTTTCTCTCTCTCCCTCCCCTCTCCCTCCCCCTCTCCTTTCCGTTCTCTCTAAAAAGCATCAATAAAAACATTTAAAAAAAAAACTGCATGTTTTAATTCGATCTGGGTATCCATCATTCCCATTTTACAGTGGTGGAAACTGAGGCACAGATAGATTCATAACTTGCTCCAGGTCACTATTGAGCAGTGAAGGTGAGATTTTAACTCGGGCTGTTCCCATCACCCCAGAACCCACGCCGCTGGAGATGCAGCTGAAGTTACCCGGGGGGTTTAGGGTGGCAACCACACACTCCAGGTGCTGACTTTGAGCTGAGAAAATATTATACATAGAGGCCAGGACCGCCTGGTTTCCCCTCCCCTCTCTGGGATCCCGGTCCCCCGTTCCTCCCTCCCGTGGGGCGGCTGCTGCCCTTGTGCTCCCGATTCATTTTATTTTTGTCCTCTTTTCCTTCCCTGGTGTCCAGAGTGGGCTGCCAGCGATTCCTTCTTTGTGCTGTGGCTTTATCTTAACTCCTGGGGCGGTAGGCCTGTGAGAGTCCCCCCTGCTGGGCAGGCTCGGGAGTGGGCACACGATGTTGGCTCCACTGTCCTTCGTTCGGCATATACTTTCTTTTTATTTTTTAAATTTCTTTATTGATGAAGGTATCACATATTTGTCCTCATCCTCCCATTCCCATCCCAAACCCCTCCCCACGTATGCCCCCACTCCCCTGTTGTCTGTGGCCACGGGTTAGGCTTATATGCATGCACACAAGTCCTTTGGTTGATCGCTCCCCCTTACCCCGACCCTTACTTTCTCTTTTGAGTGTCTGCCCCGGGAGTCGTGCTGGGGGTGTACTGATGAACAAGACAGGTCCTGCCCCTGTGGGACTTAGGAGGGTGGTGGGGAGACAGACCCGGAGACAGCCGCAGACAAATGGGAAGTACAGAAGGATGCAAACAAAACAAAGGCGGGAGGGAGCGAGCCAGCAGCCAGCGGGAGAAGGGGGGCCAGTGAGAGGGATCAGATTGGGCAACACAATAGCTCCCTGGAGCTAATGCTCTCCAGGGGGTGGGGGTGGGGCCATCACCTGTGCACCTGTGGGCCTCAGGGCCCCTCTGCCAGCAACGCCCTTTCTTTCCCAGCACAAAGGAGAGGCAGGCCCCACGCCCTCTAACTGCCTGTGGGCTACCTGCCCAAGGGCTGGGACTTGGACCTGCACAGTGAGGTGAGTCCTGGGGCAGAGAGCCATCGGCTCTGCGACTTTGTTAGGTCCCCAGGCCCTCCTCCCTACAGGACAGCGGCAGGGGCTGAGCTGGCGAGGGCAGAAGGAGAGCGGCTCAGTCCTTCCATTAATTGTCTAGGTCAGAACGGATGCTCGTGGCCAGCTTGGGCCTCTCAGCAGAGGCAGGTACCCCAACACTAGGGCTGAGGACAGGGAGACGCCATGCTGAGACCCGTCTGCCCTCCACAGGCAGGGATGCCCAGCACAGGGCGTGGGGGTTGGGGGGTGGGCCTGGGCACAACCCACCCCTGCCAAGCAAACCCGCGGCTGACCTCAGGGATCTCCGGCCCTCCGGGTCTGGCCACGGGGAGGGTCGGAGGCCTCAGAGGAAGAAGGTAGTAGCTCAGGAGAGAGCCTAAGGAGGTAGGCCCAGGGGCCCCAAAGCCCCTCCCTTCCCCCTCTCTGGAGACAGGCCAGTCTGCCTAGTCTAGGCCTGGGGGCAGAGGTGGCTGGTCGGAGAGCAGACGCAGACAGAAAAGGGTGGGAGGGTTAGTCGATCGGGCGGGTGAACTCAGAAGAGGCTCGGGGGCTGGCGCTGGGAGGCAAGGGGTTAAGGCCGTGGGGGGGCAGCCTATGGCAGGAGGACACACCTGTACGCAGGGGCGGCGGGCGGGGCCCAGGTGAGGAGCCTGCGCTGCCTGCCAGCGGAGAAGGAAGAAGGAAGAGAGGAGGCCAGGGCGGCGGTTGGATCCTGGGCCTGACTCCCCTTCCCCTCCTCAGCATCCACTCTCTGGGGGTCAGGTGGCCTGGTGACAGGTAAAGACCCTGGGAGAGGAGCCCTGGGGCTGGGCTGGGGGCTGCAGAGGCCCACGAAGGCCACGGATTGGTCTGCGGGGACAGGGCCAGGCTCTGTGGGGGCGGGGAGGAGGGAAGGGGCTCGGAGGAGGCCGAGGACAGGTGGGCAGGGGGCTGCTGAAGCTCTGCCGGGCCTCGGTGGGTCCACAGCTCTGGGTGGAGCTGCTGGCAGGCTGCAGGGCTCACCCGGAAGTGTCCCTAGGGACGCGGGTGGTGGTGGGGGGAAGGGAGCTAGGGTTCTGCAGCCTTCCCAGAGGGAGCCCGGGCCTCGGACTGCCTGCCCGGGAGGTGGGCCGGCTGGGTGGGGGCCCCCGTCTTACCCAGCAGTGTTTGGGTGCTGGTTGGGAGTCTCTAATACTGCCGGGTAATGATGGAGGCCCCCGTCCCTGTGTCAGCGACCGTCCTTTGCCCCAGGCCCCCGCAGGCTGCAGCCCCGCACGGCTGGCTCTCCCCCACACCCTGGAGCCCCCTCCGTGTGGCGTGGAGGCCGCCGCAAACAAAGTGGCTCTGGGTTGGCGAGTTGCCCACTGGACACAGTGGCTCTGAGCCCCTCCCCCACCCCGGAGTGATTTGGCATCTGCTGGATCCAGCACCCACAGCCCACCACGAGCTTGGGATTGGCTCGTGGACTCTCCGGAGACCTCACCTGGCCTGCGGCCAGGGTCCCTGTAGCAACTGGTCAGCTCCAGCCTGGAGCTGCGTGTCGCCGGCTCTGGGCCCATCTTCCAGCACAGTGTTGGATGGTCTGATCTCGAAGCTCCTAACACTGTCTGGTAAAGATGGCCCCCGGGCTGGTTCCCTCGGCAGTGACCTTCAGGGAGCCCTGAAGACCTTGGAGGCCTCCTGACCAACCTTTGACCTTTACCCCTCTGGATGGGGGTGTAAGCCACTAAGAAAAGGGGAACAATGGGGAGGAGACAAAATGGCTGCCCCAGAACTTGCACACACGCCTGCTCTCCAGGCACCAACGCACTCTTCCCGCCTTGGAAGCACGAACGAAATAAAATGTGGCTGGGACTTGCGGCAGACTGACTCGGGTGACTCCACCCTTTCTTGTCTTAACTGTGGATCTCGTCTTAGGCTCCCAGCTCCGGAGGCGTGGGTTGCCACGTCGGCTTCCGTCCCTGCCTCTCTTGTGACATTCAAACTGCAGAGCAGGGAAAAACCAATCTCCTGCTTAAAAAATCTGAGAAGCTGAAGAAGAGCCCAGTCCCTCACCCTGCAAGACTCCCCTCCTCCCCTACCAGGCTTTGTAACTCCTGCACATGCTTTGCCCCCAGTGCCGTCTCCGGACAGGGACAGGGCTGGGGCTGGACTGTATGGCACCAGGCACAGCAGGAGCTCCATTTCTCTGGTGGCTGAGATTCCGGGAGGGAGCCCTGTGTGGGGAAGCTGAGGCCCATCCTGGAGGGATTGTTCCGCGGGGGCCTGAGCTGTGGGAGTGCGCTCACCCACGCAGGTAGAGCCAGTTCACACAGATTCCTCACACCTGGTGACTGTGAAATCGGCAGGGAGTAGCTCACAGCAGGAAACACGACCCAGGGGGCCGTTTTTTCTTATCCTCACCTGAGGACATTTTTCCATTGATTTTTAGAGTAGGAGAGGGAGCCAGAAATATCGGTGTGAGAGAAACACATCGATTGGTTGCCTCATGCACGTGTCCAGACAGAAGCCTGCAACCCAGGTATGTGCCTTTGACCAGAATCAAACCCTGGATCCTCAGTCTGCAGGCCTATGCTCTATCCACTGAGCCAAACCGGCTGGGCCCATGGGGCCTTTGAGGATATAAGCCCCTGATAGGCACGAGTGGTCTCCCCTACAGTCGCACGGAACTCTGTTACCAAGGAAGCAGCTCTTGTTGGGATCATCATATTTTTGGTCTAGCTCAGCAAAGCCACAGCTGCTCGTTTAAAAAAAAAAAATGTAGATGTTGGTAAATAAACGGGGTGATTTGGTAGAAATGGGGGAGAGGGAGGGTGTAAGGAAGTGCAGCTGGGCCTGGTTTCCAGCTTGGGTCCTACTTTCTGACTCTGGGACTTCCAGGGTGAGCAGGGCCCAGGCCTGCTAGTCCTGAACTGCCCTGACCAGAGCCTGTGCGCCCCCTGCCGGCAAAGACAAAGAAAGACTCAGGAGTGTTATGTGAGAATGAA